TACCTCATATGCTATTTAACACAATCATGCCAACTAAACACTTCACTGGTTGATCTGATCACAGATAGACTCTAACGCAATAGTGCTGCGCTAACAACCTTGTGCTGAAACGAAAGAACTTACATCATCAAAAAAGCTCACCAAAGGCTCTTCTTCCTATGACAGCTCAAAAAGTTTTGCGGTATCAAAGAACGAAAGGCTTCAGTTCTATTAAAAGTGTATTAACTTTTTCAATCAAACTGTGGAATGGCAACTCCACAGATCAGCAGAGGAAGTTGGAGGACAGCATTGTGCTCCCTGCCTCAAAAAGCATTGACTACGCTCTCAAAGCAAGCAGTGAAGGCCTGAAATTTCAGGATTCTACATACAGTAATACCTTCAACAACGGCACTTACTGTAAGAATATCCAAAATCACTCACACTGTAAAAAGTGGTATACCGCAGTTGTTACTTTAAAGAACTACTTATACTTCATTTAAACTATAAAACTAGTTTTGTTTGATATAAATAATGCATTTAGGTTGATTCAGTGATGTTAGATAATGTTATTTCATAATTTGTCCAGAAATGTGCGCTGAAATGGTAACCTAAAAAAGGTAACTCTGCAGTGAATGGGTGCCGTCAGAATGAGAGTCCAAACAGCTGATAAAAACATCACAATAATCCACAAGTAATCCACACCACTCCAGTCCATCAATTAACATCTGGAAAAGACAAAAGCTTGCATGTTTGTAAGAAACAAATCTATCATTAAGACGTGTTCAACTTCAAATTGTTGTTTCCAGCTAAAATATAAGCCCTCTGTCTATAATATTGCTTTCTCCAGTGAAAGCGTTTTAGCCAGAAGTGATGGATTAAAGTTAAAATGCTCTAATGATGGATTTACTTCTTACAAACGCACATCTTTTGTCTTCTCCAGATGTTAACTGATGGACTGGAGTGGTGTGGATTACTTGTGGATTATTGTTATGTTTTTATCAGCTCTCTGGACTCTCATTCTGACGGCACCCATTCACTGCAAAGGATTCATACGTAATGCAACATTTTTCAAAATCTGTCTGATGAAGAAACAAACTCATTTACATCTTGGATATTTCAAGGGTGAGTGATTTTTCAGCAAATTTCCATTTTTGGGGAACTATTCCTTTAGTGCACACAAAATATATTACAGAAATGTGTATTGAAATCATAACCTAAAAATGGCAATATCTAAATAAACTGGTTTCGCTAAAGTCAAAATCTTTTTTTCAGTGGTGCCACAGAAGAAATTTTGGGTTCTAAATTTCCAAATTGGACATTTATTTTTCTAAATTGGAATTTTGGGTTCTAAATAAAAAAAAAACAACAACAACTAGACAATGGAAAGATTTCATTGATTTTAAAGGTTCTTCATTGAACCATCAAAGCCAATAAGGAACCTTTATTTTTAAGAGTGCACCTGCATCTGTATGAGCACAACCTATATTTAAGCCACAAAGTGCTCCTGTACATCCACTATAATGCCACTCCATGTCACGAATTCGGTCCATGGACTTCCGTTTATTCACCACCAGAGGTCACCCTTTCCATTACATTGACTCTCGCACTACACAAACTGTTGCATAGCACCCTGGACTACATATCCCATCATTCTTTGCACAATTTGCACACTGCCCTGATTGCACTCATTGCACACAGCTGTTTCTAATCACCTCATTCACTATATAACACCCACTCTAACCACCTTTCTCTGCTGAGTATTGTTTAGCCTGTACCCCTTTCCGAGTCTCCGTGTTTTCCTTGTTTTGCCTTGCCTCTTTCTGCGGTATCTGATCTTTGCTTGTTTTCCTGGATTTCTCCCTCTCATCTTGCCCCTGTGATTCTGTCTGCCGATCGGTGACCTACACCAGCCCTAGGACTATTCTTGTGTTTTTGCCGCCATATACCTGTTTGCCATTGTTCGACCCTGCCTGTTATACCACGTCTCTTTGAATAAAGCTTGCAGATGGATCCACATGTCTCACATCTCGTCAGCCCCATTACACATTGCATATGGATCCGCACGTCTCACGTCTTGTCAGCCCCGTTACAGAATACTCGGCCAAACAAGGATCCAGCAGCTCTTCTGAGGAACATTGGCCAGGTATGGACACCGCAAGGATTTTGTTAGCCCTTAAACAGGGTCCACGATCATTGGAGAACCATATCCGAGAGTTTTTAGCTATCGCTCACAATTCTGAGTTACCAGACTGTTGGTATGGCATAAATCAACCTCTGAGGGCTAAGCTTAGACGCGAGGGT